AAGTTCGGTCCTAGAGAGCCGCAGTCCTGCAGAGTTCAGCTCCAACCCTAATCAAACACCTGAACCAACTAATTAGGATCTGAAGGAGCACTTGATAATTACAGACAGGTGTGTTTGATCAGGGTTGGAACTGAACTCTGCAGGAAGGTAGATCTCCAGCACCAGGGTTGGGCACCCCAAAAAGGTGGGGGAAAATGTATGCAGTTTTGCACAAATGCATGAATGGTGTTATTGTTCACTTAATCACTTCACACTGAAGACTAGAGTAAAGATGCTGAAAATACAGCGTTGCCACCACAGGAATAATCTACACTTTATTAAAATAAACTGTTATTTTACATTGTAATAATATTACTCTTTTTTTTTACTGTATTTTTGCTGAAATGCAGCCTTTATGAGTATGAGACTTCTTTAAAAACATTAAAAAATCTTACTGATCCTATATCAGAGTGTACTGATCAGATATTTGCAAAAAAATAAATATTAAAATTATACGTTGCTTATTAAAGTAATTACTGAGTATTTTGGTGAGCCATGTCCTCGTTTGTAAGTCGCTTTGGATAAAAGCGTCTGCTAAATGACTAAATGAAATGAGTAACTTAAAATACAAGAAAAGTCAGCTTCCATACTGCAAGCGTCACAAAGCGTCTTTTTCATGAAACGTCACCACTGCCCAAGGCCTTTGCAGCAGCTGGTTGGGTTGTCAGCGTCCCCCTCATCACATTTTTGGCCTTTATGAGGTATGTTCTCCCTCTAGTTTTTTTTTTTTTAAATCCATCTATCTTAAATGGATAGTACACTAAAAAATGAAAAAATTTCATCATTTACTCACACTCAAGTTGTTACAAACTTGTAGGAGTTTCAACCAAGGGCAAACACCAACTTCCATCAGTTGCTGGGTTTCGTTGTATCTCTGTGTTAAACCCTGTTATTTTTATTTTTTATTTTTGGTGAGCCATGTAAACCAGCCTTGAGCCTTTTTAGGTTCAGAGAAGTGCATTAAGGCCTGTTCACACCAATAGAGATAACTATAATGATGACTATTAGCGTCCACACCAAAGCACAACAATGTTCTGTTTATTATAAGCACGCTACAGTTTTGTCGATTGCTGATTTAAATGCTCGAGCACTTTAAAGCAGGATGGATTCTGACTGACTGTCAACATTTTTATCATTCATTATATTAGCTGGAAAAAAATAATTCTGAAAATGGTATCAGTGATATAATAATTCTTCAGTGTCATTATCGTTATAGTTGTGGTGTGGACTTCACTATTCTCACAGAATTAGAACGATAATTAATACCTTAAAAGCCTTTAATGATATGATAAACCAGGGTTCACATTGACAAAGCATAAGTAAATATTACACACTCAGAATAATAATGGGATCAATAATTCAATCAAATGATTACTTTGCACTTAATTGGAGTAGAAGTATTGTATCTTATTGACAAATTTTTACAATAAGGGGTGAAATGCCAAAACAGTGGTCCCAACTTAAGCAACACTTAAGTTTTTTTTTATTTTATTTATTTTTTTAATAAAATTATAGATAAAATGTTTAAAATGAAGACAAAATGGACCCTTTTTGGTTGAGGCATATAGTTGTTCATAGTTAAAATGATAAACTACACCTGTGGTTCCTCTGCTAGGACATATGTGTGAACTTGAAGAGAACTGCTATCATACATCCTCTACAAATCACCCTGATACCAGTAAATTAAGGGTTTGTTGATACTTGTAGTTTGGTTCTTATGGTCCTTTTGGTCCAGACTAAAGCTAAATTTAGTCCTGCTTTGCTTAGCATTCACACTGTCATTTTTAACACCGAACTTAAAGACACAAAAGAAAAGGCATAAGGACACAGTCACAACCACAGCTTTTATGATGTATATTTTGCGAACTGAACATCCAGAACTATTGTGTACTGGTCTAAATGCACTAATATGTGTGTACAAATGATGCTATTTTTAACAGCTTGGAACTCACAAAGAGCTTATAAAATATGTAAAGTCAAATAGCACCTCTGTTGCATACATCACATCCTGGTTCGTTTAGATGTCTTTGGTCCATGTTGCATTTATATTTCAGTCAAACGGCACCAGAGTTTGGAAGCTTGTTTCATATGCACCAAAGTTCAGATGGTAGTGTTAAGATTTACTCAAATGAACTGCACTAACAGGGCAATCTCACCAGAGTTCGTTTTAATCAAACCGAAGCTGCCACGTGTAAATACACCCTAAAAGTAATTGCGAAAATGGGTCAGAAAGTAAAGCTCTGAGAATAGCTCTAGCAGCATTTGTTTTCAGAAACCACTTTTTTTTTTTTTTTTTTTTTTTTTTTTTAAGTTGTATTTACAACACTGTTCCAGAACAGTTCAACTAGGCATGGGCCGGTATGAGATTTGATGGTATGATAACCTTAAGCAAAAATATCACGGTTTCACGGTATCACGGTATTGTCGTTACAGCTCTAAAATGTGTTATTTTTAAATGACTGGGTAAATCAAAAAAAAAAAAAAAAGCAACACAGAATATTAGGAACAGTAGAATTTGTTTACTTTTTCTTTGATTTGTTTTCCTAAATCTTTATTTAACCTAAATCTGTAATTACAGTTATTTAATTTTAGTTATATAATTCATATACATAAAATTTATATCATTTCATATCATTAAGTTATATAATTTCATATACATAATTTGATTTAATAATTTGAAGCAAAAACAGAATGTTCTGTTCTGACTAGCTTTGTGAAATTATACTACATGCCTGAACGAATCAAACAGCAGAAGCTCTGAATGAGACGCAGATTCACTCTCTGACAGCAGGAGGCGCTAATGGAACACCAGATACAGTGTTTCCTTGGTTACCGCTGTAAACAAAGCAGCACTGAGCTAGGCGCTTCTGGAACACCAGATACAGTGTTTCCTTGGTTACCGCTGTAAACAAAGCAGCGCTGCGCTGAAACACTACTTTAATATGAACTATACAGAGATGAGATTAAAAGAAAATACCACGTAAACTTTTCTGAAGACTTGTTCCCCTCAGAAACAGATTCATATAAACCCCCAAATCAATATTGAGGATTTTCTTCCAATAGTTTGTGCATCATGAACAGTGAGGGATCTGCCTGCTACAGTATTTTTCTCTGTGCGTCCGTCTTCAGCGTCTCTGGCCTCTGTTAACGGCTGTTTATAGACTTCATATTTTCACATTGAGGTTGAGGTATTCGGCTAATCACAACACACTGGATAGCTGGCCAATCAGAGCACACCTCGCTTTTCAGACCGATGAGCTTTGTAAAAATCGACGCGTTTCAGAAAGGCGGGGCATAGAGGAGAAACAATAATGTACAGTATGTGGAAAATGTGTTTTTTGAACCTTAAACCGCATAAACACATTTCTTTACACCAAATACACAAAATAATGTTCTTTTTAGCAACATCATATGACCCCTTTAAGCGCATACCTTGCTGCTTGGCAAGGCTGCTAGATTATTTTGGGGTTTTACATATCAGGTTTAGGAGGCTGTGCGTATTAGATTTCCATCGATATTCTTTATGGTGGTTTGCCAAATAGGGTTAGAATGGGTCTCCAATTTGCATATTGTTAGGGCATGAATTTGAGAAGTGTAATTCTCTACCTCATCTT